TCAAAAATATTCATTCCATGTTTTAGAGGGATTAAACTTACAAAACTTCAAACAATTTGATAAAGATTCTTATCGACTGTCATTAAGAAGAAAATATACATCACAATTTATTTCAAGAATCTGCAATTCAGCAATTATAGGATAATGAATAAACCATGAAAAGTATTTGTCTTTCAAATATTTTTAAATTGTACAAATTGCAGATATTTATTTAAATTAAGAAATCTTTATGAAAAAAATGAGAAATGCACAATGAAAAAAAAAAAAACTTTTAATCTAGACTTTTATATAAACTAAAAAAAGAAACTATAACTAAGATTTATATTTTAGATCACATTGTATTAAGGTACGTGGTCAGATTGATGGAGTTGTGAAGAAATGCTCACTAATTAATTTAGATCAGCAAGAACTGGTAAATGTCTGAGGTGATAGAGATTTAACCTTCTTCAAAAAATCTTATGAGATACTAATTTATCCATGAAGGATTTAAATGAAATATATGCAGATAACGAACAGTATTCAAGCTCAAAAGTCCATTATACAATACAAAATAGGAGCAGAGCAAACACGGACCTCCAAACATCAGAGGTGGGATCAGGTGCCATGGAGAATATAAGAAAAAATATATCAGAAAATATAATCTAACATCGTTAACTTTTGAATGAATGTAAATTGTTCACCTTCTATATTGAAATCTGACCCTGATAAACAGAGATCACATCTCTGGACAAAATCGGAAAAGATTTCAGAATTTAGTTCCTACGTTCTCATATTTATATCGATACCTCTAGATCCTGTTCACTGACAACAGAATAATTCCCAATTTCATGAACAAAATGCCTTCTTTCTATCGGCTGCAAATCTGCACATGCCGTTTAATCAATAAACCAACACAACGTCAAAACTTAGCACCTGTGATCTATAAGGCAACGGAAGTACATGTAATAGATATATATTTTCTGCGACACCTTGTGTATGAAGAAACTGCTGTCATTTGACATTTTTAAATGATTGATACCCTCCTTGATCCGAAACTGGTAAGTCCGCTCTAGTGTAGATCGAAACAGTCGTATGTAATGCAGTTATACATGTTATATTTTATTTATTAAGCAGATTGAGGGTCATCCCCCAACTGTTGTGATGTGGAAAGCTAATGACCAAGCAACATATTGCACAATCTCTGTAATGGATCAGCCAGCGGAGATTTTCAGATAGTCAGGTTATCAAATGTAAAATAAACAAAAAATTGATCGCACTCCCCTTAAGAAAGCATGGCTCCTCTCTCGTTGGTTAGAATAATCATATAGAAGTATATATGAATTAAAACGGTTTGCCAATGAGAAGTGCTCCTCCCACCCATACGAATAATTTTTTGCGCTTGATCAGTTTTTACTTTCCTTGTGAAAAAAAAATCATTTTGTTTATGTGAAGTGGATATGAGCTCTCTGGATCTGCCCTAGCATCTAATCTTTTTTTTAAATTTACTTAGGTAGTAAATTTTATGTATAAATTCCTTTGGTCGAGTCGAGTTTTCTCAACCAACATCTCCTTTGAAACAAATAAAGGACTGTTCACTGATTGATATTTAATGTACAGTTAATTCACAAGAGATATTTACATGTTGAGAGTCGTTGTATGAGGGGGAGGGCATTCTCATATTTTTTTTCTGGGAAGAGGTTCTCCTGTTATTACTTTTGCATGGATGTTATCATAAAAGGCTTCTAACTTTTAGTTGCAGTATGTCTGAGGCCCTGTTTTACAAACAATTACAGATTAATACATATATGATGGTATATTTTACCCAATTTCTTTTCATTCACAACTTATTTCATGCCCTAATCATGGACACAGTATTACTGTTTGTCTTAAGTGTATTAAAAAAATAAAACCTATTTTTAAACCGTGGAGAGAGAGAGGGGGAGAGAGAAGAGAGAGGGATTGGTTGATTTTATGTCCCGTTCGAGAATGTTTCACTCTTATAGAGACGTCACCATATACCGGTAAAGGGCTTCAAATTTAGACCTTTGCTCGGCACTCGATCAGGGCCATTGGGCAGTGACGGTTCTTTATCCTGACAACGCCTACCGTGACTTGAGGCCTCGGTCTCATCCCAATGACCTGCAACTTTCACTTCAAAGTACGCTTGGCGAAGGAACAGTTGCTACCTTTTTTATCGACTTAAGTCCTTCCGATCACGGAGCGAGCGCTCTATAGACTGAGCTACATGACGGTACAGAGAGAGAGAGAGAGAGAGAGAGAGAGAGAGAGAGAGAGAGAGAGAGAGAGAGAGAGAGAGAGAGAGAAGTTTACACAGCTAATTGTGCCACGTACGTGTAACGTATGGTAGCACATACCATATGTTACACGTATGTGAAACGTACGTAACACATACGTGAATTCCAACCGCACGTTACACATACGTGGTACAACGTACAGATAACGTGCGTGTGACAACATACGTTTCACATAACTTACGTGAAACGTGCGGTAGGAATACACGTATGTGTTACATGTGCATTGTCAACCACATGTAACACGTACGTTGATGAACGCATGGTTTACATATGTATTATAAACCACATTTTACATGTACGTTAAATGCATAGTTTACATGTATTATCAACCACACATTACACGTATGTTAATAAATGCATAGCTTACATGTGTTATCAACCACACGTTACACTTATGTTTATAAATGCATAGATTACATGTTTTATAAACCACACATTACACGTACATTAATGAACAGTATGTGTATTATCAGCCACACGTTACATGTACCTTGTCATTGGTCATTTGCAAAATTATTTTGTTAAAAAACATTCTGATTGTACACACAAGTACTCTGAAGTTGACATTAAAAAGATGCTTGAGTTTCTGATTGACAAAATCTATGTGGTTTTTGGAGACCAGGTCTTCCAACAATCTATTAGAATTCCCATGGGTACCAATTGCGCCCCGTTATTAGCAGACCTTTTTTTTTTATTCATATGAAGCAGAATATGTCGAAAATCTTGTACGTGAAAAGAAGAAAACACTTGCTGTGGCCTTCAACTCGACATTTAGATATATCGACGATGTATTGTCAATTAACAATGGCTATTTTCATTCTTATGTCGATACGATATATCCTGGTGAGCTTGAAATCAAAGATACCACAGAGTCTGACACATCTGTTTCATATTTGGATATTTTACTTGAAAAAGACGTTAATGGTAATCTAACAACCAAGCTTTATGATAAACGTGATGACTTTAACTTTTCAATCGTCAATTTTCCTTACTTATGCAGCAATATACCTTCATCACCTGCATACGGGGTATATATCTCTCAGTTGATTCGATACGCAAGAGTATGCTCTACGTATGAGCAATTTCTAAAACGAGGTAAATTTTTGACAAACAAGTTGATGAAACAAGAATATCAGCTGTGTCGTTTAAAGTCATCATTTCGTAAGTTCTATGATCGATACAATGACCTTGTCAGCAAATACAATTTATCATTGAGTCAAATACTGACTGACGTTTTTCATACTAATTGTTAGGCCATTGTTTACACACTGAATTGTCGACGGATTTTTCCGTTATTTCCCGATCATGACAAGGAGCACACGGCGGGTGTGACCGGTCGGCAGGGGATGCTCACTCCTCCATGGCACCTGATCCCACCTCTGATGTTTAGAGGTCCGTGTTTGCTCTGCTCCTATTTTTTATTGTTTAATGGACTTTTGAGCTTGAATACTGTTCGTTATCTCCTCTCCATATATTTCATGTACGTTAATAAAAGTTGTTTTAAATGTGTTTGAAAACCTGTGTTTGAGAAGGCTGTATTTTTTCTATATTAATGGTACTTTTATATACATGTACGATAAATGTTGGTCAACTATCATTAAATGCTGTCCTTTTTTATTTAATTTCAATTAATAAATTAATAAAATTATTATTTAATTTTAGTCATTAAGGGAAGAAAATCCCTAAAAGTTTTATTGTTGCTGGGACTATAATATTCTTAAATTTGTGACATTTCAAATACAGGAACGTTTTGTACAAATGTACGCCTGACTCAGACCAAATACTTTTTTTACTTAATAGTTCAAAGTAAATCTGGAGAACTAATCAAGATAATGTTTAACAATCAATAACCTGTAAGTCATGGATCAGAGTATTATGACCAACCTGATCTAAGTATAAAATACTTCTTAAAACGGGTACCTAGATCATAAGTTGCATTGATTTTTATCATCATAATATATTGTAAAGATTTAACTAATATTTTTTAAAATATAATTTGAATATTATGACCTATGATTAAAACCCAATCACTTCTGAAAGCTCACAGGTGTGTGTGCTGTCACTTTGTTGTGCGTGTTTTGCGTTTTTAATGTTCTTTAATGTTTCAATTTATTTCACATTGTTTACCTTACGTCCACTTGCATGTCTGACATGGAGTAATCATTTCGCATTGGTATATAATTTATTCTTAAAGTATTAAAACATAGTTTACATACAAGTCAAGTACTTCCAGTTCTCATAATGTGTATATCGGTAGACGCACATAAAATTGAACTCGATCATCGATAGATATAATCATTCCGAATTCAAGAGCTACATTTCAGCAAAACTAAACTTAAAAAAAACCCACCAAAATCACGATAATTTCACAACAAAACTCAAATGAAATTCACCTAAATTGACATTAGATATACAGTAGGTAGCGTCCGTATAACACTAAAATATGTAAAATATACATTTCGGAATTTTCAAGCCTCCATTTATTTTTTACGTTACGGGTAACGTCACTGGAAAAAAGTCTGACGTCTGCAAGTGTCTGGAGCTAGACTAGGATAACGGAGAGGAATATATAACATCAACAGTTATTTAATTATTTTATATTTCAGATTGTGTTGCATGTAAACTAACGGGTATGTTTCTTTTATTTCAGTGTATAACATAATATAGACTAAGTTTACCAAATAAGTAAGAAATTATTGACGAAGTCAACTATCTTGGTCAGCATCCCAGCCCAGGTGTGAATCAACACTGGCACATTATATCAAAGTGCAGGTGAGGTTTAAACATACTGTTATAACAAGTATTTATTGTAAATATTTTTTTAGCCTACCAATAAGATGCAAATAAAACCCCTGATGGAAAAGTCCCCCCATGTATTTCTTTATATAGCATGCAGAAGAAATCATTGTCTTTTAGGGCAATTAGGGTGTATTACTTATTTTTCAGATGTCTTTGCCTTTTTCATCCTTATGAATATAAATAATGTATTTTGAGATTGTGATTTTTTATGTGATTTTAAATGTACACTCCAGGATGGTGGCTGAAGGCAGAAGCTCATCTCCTATGTAAACACCTAAATGCCAAGTCTGGACTTCAAAAACAGATTCTGAAAGTTTAACCAGCATTATGGTAATACTCTTAAAAAAGAAATCAGATTTTCTGATCCCATTGTTTTTAGACTTGCGATTACATAGCATGTAATGATGTGCATTATACATTTCAATCACAAGAGAAGAAAATGTTAAATGTTATCAGTAAAATAAGTAATTTTTCATCTTGTTGGTTTTGCTTTACTTACAAGTCTGAAATGCAATTTTTATTAACATATATTTTTTTTTTACCTCAAGGACAAAAAGTATATACTTCGAACAGACACAAAAACAAATAGGTCCATGCCAAGCTTTGAAAGATTTATGTTGAGGGTAAGTTCTATTATTATATAGAATATAATTGTCGGACACATGGTTGTCTAAAACTATCTGTTTATTTATATCAGTGATGAGAAATATTTTGTATTAGCTCACCTGAGCTGAATAATAACAAAAAATGTTGAAAGTAATTTAAAAGTAACCTGAGTCAGTCATGACCTATTGCTATCTGTTTTTGTCCATCGTCATTCACTGTGCATTGTCTGGTACCATTTGAACATTTTCTCTAAAACTGCTGAACCAATTTCGACCAATTTTGGCATAAATTAATGCAGCATCTGAGGTCGAATGGGAACAAAAATAATTAATTTCATGGTCCTTGCTCCCCCAGGGGCCTAAGGGATGAAGCTAAAAACCATTAAAATTAATGCATTCTTTAAACCTGGACATCAAGCAAACTGTTTGCATGATTGTAATGAGCATCGAGTCGTCTACTAAAATTATGAAATTCATTGCCCCAGGGTAAGTGATTCAGGGCTTTATTGATCATATAATGAAAATGCATTGATTCATTGAAAATCCAAATAATACTTCTGAGTTTAAAGCAAACAAACTAAGTTCATGACTATGATGAACAAGTTTTGTTTTTTGAGTTCACTCACAACACTTCTATTTTAAATTTGTCATGTAGAGAATTATAAGGTAGATACTTGAGGATAGTGAAAAGTCTAGTTTAAAAGATCAAGGTTATTAATACTAAAAAAATGTAGTTATTCGACACTATATTTATACCCCCCAACAAAGTTTTGGGGGATATATAGGAATCACCTTGTCCGTCTGTCCATTAGTCTGTCTGTCTGTGCAAACATGTCTGGTCCATATATTTTTTTTTATGGAGGAACATTAGAATCTACTACTTCACACAAAAATTATTCATGACCTGAGGGTGTATGTGTATCATGACCCTGACCCAAAGTCATTTGGGCAAGTTAAAGGTCACTGACAGAAAAAGTTCATAATTCGTGCCTGGTCTATATCTTTCTTATGGATAAACTTGGTGGGTTCCTATTTTACACAAATATTGCTTATTACCTGAGGGTGTGTCAAGACCTTGATCCAAGACCATTTGGGCAAGTTCAAGGTCACTGACAGAAAAAGTTCATAATTCGTGTCCGGTCCTTATCTTTCCTATGGAGAATAATGTTTGGATGTTGGGAGTTTCCACTCACAAAAAGTTTGCTTATGACTTGCGTTTGTGTCATGATCTTGACCTATAGTCAATGTAGAAAAAATGGATAAATAATGCATTCATACTTTCCAACAAAGAAATACTTGAAAAAATGTTATTTATTTTTTTTTAACATAATAAAAAACAATGTTATTATTAGTATTGCTGTTTTATTAGGGTACGCCATAGTTTCATTTATTAAAAAAATATAATGAACAATTATATTTCACTCTAAATGTTTAAACAAATTGTGAACACCTTTTAGATTCTCAAATACTAGAATAAGTGACTTGGCATCTTCTCTGAAAAACCCAGTGGGGGGTTTGTCCATTTTGGACAGTTCTAGTTTAGTTTTTCCTTAAGATTCTTTGCAAATTAGAAGACTGTTCATTTTCTCATTAACTACCATGGATGAACATGAATATCTCCATTGTAACGTCATGCTGCCTTACTTGACGTCAAAACTATAGTGCAAACTGTTTTGCTTTAAAAAATGCCAGTTGAATGGTGTTATTTGTGGTAACTCATCAGAAAATAATGTAAATATAAGAAATAAATTTAATTTTTGAAAATTCATGAGGCACATGAACTACAACGCTTCACGCCGGCACATTTATCATGAAGCGCTAACGCGCTTCATGAAATATGCCGGCGTGAAGCGTCGTAGTTCATGTCCTCATGAATCTTCAAAAATTAAATTCATTTCTTAAATGTACCTTCAAAATGTTGATCATTCAACAGATGAAAAGAAAAGCCTTTGAAGAAAATTATGTCAAATGCATGAATTGAATATTTTAATTGCACATCATTTTTGTTTCACGTATGTTTACAATATGTGAAAAAAAATTTCAAAACATATGTTTAACATGTATGGTACTTATACATTTATCATATGAGCAGTGCATTTAACAAACATGTTAGACGCATGTTTCTCAAAACATACGTTACAAACACGTTGCACACGTACGTTATTCAGTGAACCGTATGAATAACGTACGTGTGCAACGTGTGTGTAATGTATGGTAGTCAATACGTATGTTTAACGTACGTGTCACGCATGATATTCATACATGTGAAAACGTACGTTTAACGTACGTGGTGCTTTTTTCATGTGATACGTACGTGAAGTCACGTACGTATCACATACGTTTAACGTGCGTGATACGTATGTGGCACATTTTGCTGTGTACATAAAAAATATAGCATGGTTATTATAATTTCATGGTACCATTGAGATTAAATCCTGATAACAGTGATAATATCTGAAAATATAATCTCATAAATAAATAGGTCATTTCAAAGCTTTTTTTTTTTTTAAACCAAAACAAATAATAAATACAGCGTTTTTGGCAACAGGCATGACGATACAAGTTACAAAGCACTTATTCATGTTAAAAAAATAAGAAGTTTTACAGATATTGATTTCAAATAATTTATTTTCTTGATTTCTTTCCTCGTTTTTCATCTTAAACGAATTATCGATTGCTCTTCTCTTATCTTGTGTATCATTTGTGGATTAAAATGTGATATGAATCACACATTACCGATGGATTTTCAAAATTAGTAATTTTGTAGGTAGTAATTTTGTAGGTATTAAAATTTGAATGTAAAGTCAAATTTCTTATTGGCCACAAGCAAAAAGTACGATTATAATCACCTTAGAGATTTGTATTAGCGATATTTTTAGGTATGGTAGAGTCACCCGCGTGACGCAGTAGTAAGAGCATTTGCTCTAGAGTCGCGGCGTAAGGAGTTGATCCTTACGTCGCGGGTTCGAATCCAACTGCGGAATGTGGAGACCGGTCCTTCAGATGAGACCGTATAAACCGAGGCCCCTGTGTCGCAGTAGGTGCTGGCACGAAAAAGATCCCTCACTGCTCAATGGCCCTAAGTGCCGAGTATAGGCCAAGATTTGCAGCTCTCCATCGGCAAGTGGTGGCCATGTGAGTGAAAAATTCTAGAGAGGGACGTTAAACAAAAACAAACAAACAAACAAACAAACTCATCACAAGTCAGGTGCTCTACCTACATAGCTATCCAGGCCAATATTTACGAACCAAACAATTATATTCCTCCTTCCTAAAACTGTCTTTGCCCTCGAAGACAAAGACCGTTTTAATTGACTCTGCCAGGCCTTCTACCTGCAACTCCAGGGGTATTGATGGCAAAAAGTTATTTAACCGGAAAGGAGGAAATGTATGGCTAGAACAGGAATCGTACCCGGTACCCCTGTGTCACTAATCAGACGTTTTAACGACTCTGCCATCCAGGCGATATTCATGGTCCATACCATTACATTAGTATACATTCTTATTGCCATTGCTCATATACTATTTTATAAATATTGCTTGTAGTTGAGTGTGACATTGAAAATTTTCACCCCAAAAAAACCATTGTCAACCGAGGCGCAGCCGAAGTTGACAATAGTTTTCGAGGGGTGAAAATTTTCAATGTTACACTCATCTGCATGCAATATTTATTATATTATACTGAATGTTTTATACAAATACATATAACAGTGAACCTTGCGCGCATAAATTCTGCGCAGTCACTTATTTTTGGAATACCACCCGTCGTCAAGCAATGTTGACTGCTGCTACGCTGGGAGTTCGTGGCTTCATCATTCAGCGGGTAATAGTGTTTTTTTAACAAATGTTTCTCGACGAATCAGATTCAACTAATTTATATTAAAGTATAATATATGTAAATACCATCAAAGTATTTATTCCTCCTCCGATGAAAATTCTACTAGGAGCATTATCTAGAACTGTTATGTCTCTTCGACAACCCGAAACTAATTTGTGGAATATATGAGACAAAATTAAAAACAGATCTTTAAAACAATGATACATTCGTCAGATCAAATTAGATGAATTTTCACATAGTGTAGATTGAAGTCAATTAATGTTGCCAATTTAACATAAAAGACAAACATTTTATTCGAAAGATTTAATTAGTCCAACATATTGTTACGTTCCGATAAGTTTACCTGTGAAATTCGGATTAACTGTTGTTGACAAGTTCCGAATAAACGGACCCTGAACCCGATGTGTATAAACTACTAAAATATTTGTCAATGAACAATGAACGAAAGAATTGAACAATGATTTATTATTTGAACTTTATCAATTTGATTTATGTATTGTAATTACAAAGCGTTATGTTGTATATGTTCTATATAGGTACAACGTTATTAAGTAATTTTAGTGGTCAAAACCCGCTAACTTACAAATTAGATATTGATTGTGACGTTATTGGTATCTGACGTTTATACGTCATCATAACAACTTTTGTCTATAAACGACAGCTGTTTTGTGTTTAGAAGTCAGTCTGCATTGGGTTGCGACTCCGTATACTTCGGGTGTAAGACAGTGGTATGTACAACAGTACCAAGTCTATGTATACGAAATCATTAGTGAAGAGTCATTCAGAGTAGAAACGTCCTGGATTGACCACTGGTTCGTCATCTTTGTATTAACCAAATAACGTTGTACCAACCAAGTTTATCATTGTGCTTATAATTGAACCATTTGATCGTCTTAATAAATATCATAAACTTTACAACGTGTTATTCGTCACGGTTCTAGTGCAGATATTATAGTGAACTAAAAATTGGTCATTTCACCAATTATTCAGTGGACCAAAAATTGGTCATTATTCCGATTGTATATAAACTTTGTGGATAACCATTTCAACCTTGACCAGTTACCAGTAACCAACAGCGGCCCACGATTAACTGATTAAGTAATAACCTTATACCCTCGGTTTCGTTACAATATCATATAGGTTTCCTCAGTATACCTCA